TTTTTACATATTTATTTTTTAAAAAAAATTCTAAAAAATAAATATATAAAACTAATTCTTCCATATCTTTTCAATTTGATTTGGAGGAATTGAAAATAGAAAAATAGAAGGAATTATTTTTCTCCCCTTTATTAAAATTAATAACCCCAAATATCATGAGAAGAAATCTTTCCTTATATGTATTTTTCTTTTCTTTCAATTTCTTCCATCCAAACTAAAGCTAAGTGCTTTTGAATTTGGGTCGGGTACCATTTTCTCTTTTACTTTTTATTTTTTAGCCCAATTTCATGTAAAAATCAGAATAACATGTACGGTATTTTTGTTCTATATATCTTAGTATTGAATGGATAGTTACAATGTGAGTGTTGTGTGTGTAAGATTATAATTTTATAATACTATGTAATTAATATAAATACATCATTACTTGCAATATTATAGTGATAATATTATATAAAATTATAAATTTATTTATATCATTAAATGAATTATTTAATAAATACAATATATATAATATTATGAAATTTGAATAAAAAAAGTGAATGATATAATAACACATCATTATACGTACAAGATTATTACAATATTATTACAATATTGCATGACATCTTTAATTAATCCATTTCCTTTTATGAAAAGAAATATAAATCAAATAATGATAACATCTTTATTTTAATTACTCCATTTTTTTATTCATTCGAAAACACCATTTTCAAAACCCTTTTTTATTTTTGAACAAATTTGTAAAGAACTGGAATCGAACCATTGCCTTCGAAGAAAGAGAATGTACTTATATATAACCTGACATCACTAGACTTTAAGACCCAAGTGCTTCAAAATCCAATTTTTAAAAAAACTAGTCGTTAAAAGAATAATTAATTTTAATTTTCAGGGCTGCATGTGAAATAATACCTCAAACTTTCATTCAACATGTAATTCCGAAAACTATGAAAATTTAATTTACTGATAAAAAAATAAAAATAAAACGATTAAACCTTTTGGCTTGCATCCGAGCATAAAGCATGAACATTTACTTTTAGTAAGGTAAAGATTACAAATTATCACTAGTTTTTGCAGGTTTTTGTCCTTTTCTCTTTCTATCCTTTTTCTTTAGGAATCCCTCCTCCGCTGGTGTTTTGAGTTTCTGTTTTCTCCGTTCTCTTACTTTCTCTTCAAAGCGATCATCCATCATTATTTTCATCGTAGCTACCCGCTTCGCCTTACAAACCTGTTACAAATCAATTGAAGTAATATGCAAAATGGTGAAGCTCAGATACTAGCCATTCCTTAGGTGAGATGTGCATTTACATGACGCGCCATGAAATTTAGTCATATATAAACTTGAACAACTATAATTGATGTAACAACCGAAGAACATGTGGTATAACAAGGGAAGCAACCCAAACCTTAATAATTATTGTAGAAAGATCTAACCTTTGTGAAATCAGAAAGCACTTCCTTTTCTTTACAATTGAACTCTTCCAACTGCTTTCCCAATTCAGCCTCTATTTCATGAACAAGCTGTACATCATTCTGCAAAGTCCATGTGTCCAAGGAAAGAAGCCCAAAATTGATTCTTCAATAGATCAGAAATACGCAACAAACCATGCTTTGTACATTCAACCTTTGCCAACTAGGTTTGCTCGGTGCAATGAAAACCATTAAGAAACCACGTTTCAAAATATTATTTAGCCCCTCTCCAGCACAGGACTTACCTCAGTAACAAAGCTCACAGCGAACCCTCCTCTACCAGCTCTTGCTGTTCTGCCCACACGATGAACGTAATCTCTAGGGTACCAGAAAACATCAGGCAGTTAAATTTCATTGCATAGGTTGAAGTAATTTTAGAGAAACAAAAAAGAAATAGAGATCCTCAATTAAAAACCTTGGAATATCATAATTTATAGCCAGATCAACAGTAGGAATGTCCAAACCACAACTGGCAACATCAGTCACAATAAGTATAGAAACTCGTCCAGATTTAAAGTGATGTATTGCGGAAAGCCTTAGAGCCTGAGATTTGAGTCAATGCAGGGCTGCAGTCTCTACATCAAGCTCTTCCAGTAATAAACTTAGAAGGTGACACTCTCTGCTCCCAGATTATAAAAGTGGAGTAAATGTCAAGATCAAGATGTGTATACAAATAATTAAATGTGAAAGAAGCACAAAAAGGCAGCAAGGAAACACTAGGAAAGAGGAAACAGGTTCTTGCAACATCAAAATGACCACATACGTATCACTACCATGAAAGTTGATGAAGAAACAATTGACTTTAGTTCCAAATAAAATTAAAACCAAAAGTTCCCAGATGAGATTCTAGAGAAGGCATGATATCTCACACGGTTGAAAATAAAATTTCCAACAGCAGATAAAGCTTTTCTCATCAGACGCATTGTTTAAGGGTATGCCAGCAGCCTATCTAACAGACATTTTCCTTTTCTGAATGTCAGCCTTAAGCTTCATTGATGGCATGATTTGCTTCCTACTTTTACAGCATAACCTCATCCATCAAAAACATGCCTTACATTGCTTGAACCACAATTATAAAAATCAACCACAAGGAGGAGAAAAAAAAAAACATGTAAACGGAGGGATAGAAAGGAAATTGGCAAACTAAGAATATATGGTTTAAACAAATGATACCTGCATCTCGAGACAAATATCATGGCCGAGTGAATATTCATATCTTCCATTTTGGACAAAATGTGGACCAGATAACATCCTTTACAGTTTTAGGGATGAAAACATACTGCTGCTTAAGTGTTTCAACCATCTTGGAGCCTTCATATGCCTCATAGAAGTATGCTTTATTGGCAGAAAACTCAAGTAGTGTTTGCAGGTTGCTAGTCATTGTTGCAGAAAATAAGAGAGTTAGTCGATTTTTTGGCAAGCACTGAAAGATCACTCTCAATTCCTCCTCAAATCCTACATCCAAAACTCTATCAGCCTCATCCAAAACTAAAAACTAAAACAAATGAAATAGAATATAAGGAACAATCACAAAGGGCATTCTGCCTCGTAATGAATGATGTGTATACAGCTTATGATATATAGAACAAACTTAAAATGATATCATAGTTTCCTGAATTGCATAGCAAAGCTAAATCAATAAAATTATCCTGCTCCAATCATTCATTATGAATTTATGACAATATTCCTCAGACACCATTTCTAAACCATGAAATAATAAAACAATCTACAGAATTTCTTAATCAGCATAGACAACAACTGCCATCTTATCCTGACATTCCAGAGGATTAAAAACAATAACCTGAAAGCTAATTACTACAAATACCGAAAATCAATTTATCGTACATTGGTGCATCCCAAATTGGACAGGTCACCACATTTCATGATTATAGTATTGCACTTCACACTCTCACAAAACAATTTCAGTACCTCATAATAGACAAATGTTAATTAACCAATGTTAATGCTTCCTAAATATCACAATGAATTATCGGCTAGCTTCCTGGTGAGTGCATGGTACAAACCATAATCTAACAACTAAATATTCTAAAGGGCTAATCAGTTATCACATTGCACTTTCTTCACTATAGACCAACAGCACCACGGTAATAACAGCAATCCCAGCAGCAACTATACCAATTCCAGATTTTTTACATAGTTATTACATCTCAATTTACCTTGGTCCTTTCAAACATGGGAGGAATATCCGGATTCTCCTCCAGCAAGACCTTGAGCCTACCGGGGGCCGCCACAACCACATGGGGTCTCGAGGACAAGCTCTTTGCCTATCTGATCACATCGAAGCCGCCCACCACCACAGCACACCTTAGATGCAGACAGGATCCCAGGGCCTTGAACTGCTCTGCCAACTGGGTTGCAAGCTCCCGCGTTGGCGTTATCACCAGGGCAAACACTCCATAGGGATTCTCAGCCAGGCGATGCAGGATGGCAGCGCAAAAGCCGCCTTCTTCTCGCTACCCGTCTGTGCAATGCCCAGCAAGGATTTTGGGAATACAGTGGGTTTGGACAGACGCTGGCCCCCGAAATCTGAGCTCTTTGCACGTTTGAATGGCCCATTCGGCAAGGCCAAGCTCAGAGAAAGCAACCGAATTTGTAGTAGCAATGTGATTAACATCAGAATTTGTGTTTGAAAATTTTTCTATTTTGGGTTTCTGTGGATTGTGGTTCTGAGAATCATCAGAGTGTTGGGAGGGTTTAGGGGTTTTGGGTTTGGTTTTGAAACTTTTGGAGAAAAGGGCGAAGTTTTCATCAACTAGGGTTTGGTTTTCCTGCTCTTGTATTCCTTGGTCCATGGTGCTTCCTCCGTTTGACCAGGAAGAAAGTGAGAGAAACGGAAAGAAATTATAAAACCCAAAAATTTTCCGGTAAAAATTAAATCATTTCCTTCTCAATTTCAATAATGCTCAGCAGCAGCTACGTTGTTTATGGCTTAGCACATAGAGCCTAAAACGGGGAAATTTGATAAAAAGAGGAAATTTTGAAAAACCCAAAATTTCCCGGAATCTGAATAGATTTTGATGGTTGCAAATTGCAGTGAGGGATGTACACAGAGAAGTTGAGAAAATACAAAAAATTTCCCGGGAAAATTGATGGAATGTTATGAGTTAATTGTCCACATTAGGAGACGTCTCTGAATTCAACTAAACGTCGTCGTTTAAATCGTTGACGGAAGTATACGCCCTCTGTCGTCCACTAGTTAACGCCAAACTTCTGTCTGGCAGGTAAAAGTGCTGAGACAGAGGGGTTTGTTTTGTGTGTGTTTTGTTGGTGTTAGGTTCAATTGAATCTGATGGAGTCACCGTTCAAGGCAGATATATTGAAGGGGAAGGTGGCCCTGATAACAGGAGGAGGATCTGGAATTGGGTTCGAGATATCAACACAGTTCGGTAAGCATGGAGCCTCCATCGCTATCATGGGTCGACGGAAGCAAGTGCTCGACTCTGCTGTGTCCACCCTTCAATCTCTTGGGATTAAGGTAAAAATTCACAATCCCCTCTTTTTACAACTTCCTAGGATCGTATGCTCCTGATTTATTAGCACATCAGACAGGAAAGTTCATTCCTTCTGTTTTCATATACTTCAATATTGATTCTACAACAGGACCATTGATTTGTTTTTGATCCATTAATGTTTACCCTGCTACATTTTTCACATGAGATATAGAGATTTAAACGAATAAGTTGAGTTCATTGCATTTCTCTTTCTCTCGCTATTGCTTTTGAAGGCAGCTGGGTTTGAGGGCGATGTCCGCAAACCAGATGATGCAAGAAGAGTGGTTGAATCTACTTTCAAGCACTTTGGTCAGGTTGATATTCTTGTGAATGCTGCTGCTGGAAATTTTCTTGTGTCTGCTGAGGATTTGTCCCCTAACGGATTTAAAACAGGTTATTTTTTGCTCTAATCTGTTTTTTCAAATAGTGACTGTATTTGTTCAGAGAAAGTTATTTTACTTGTTTCCATAAATAAATTGAGATTTTCCCAACAGTGGTAACTAGTGTTAAACAATCAGTTGTTGCTTTAGTCTGGGCCACTAGTTCTAGCTAAAAACGACCTGTCTTTACCTATTCTCTGCAGTAATGGATATTGATTCTGTTGGCACATTCACAATGTGCCATGAGGCACTTAAGTATCTTAAAAAGGGAGCACCAGGAAGGGGCTCGACTAATGGAGGGTTGATTTTGAATATTAGTGCTACTTTACATTATACAGCTTCATGGTATCAAATACACGTCTCTGCAGCAAAGGTTAGTTGTATGAATTTCTTGAGAGGGATGTTTAATTCTTGAGTTTTTCTAATTTGCAATGTTTTTTCGTTTTTGGCCCCATAGGCAGCTGTTGATGCCACCACTAGAAACTTGGCACTGGAATGGGGAACAGACTATGACATTCGAGTCAATGGGATTGCCCCAGGCCCCATTGGTGATACTCCTGGCATGAGTAAACTTGCACCTGATGAGATTGAGAGCAAAGCTCGAGACTACATGCCACTGTATAAACTAGGGGAGAGGTGGGATATTGCCATGGCTGCACTCTACCTTGCTTCAGATGCTGGTTAGTCACCTTAATCAACTTTCTCAATCGTCTCATTACCAATATTGATCTACATAATGGACTATTAGAGATTCTAGTTTGAAATCTCTCTCATGCATATAAATATAACATTATCATTTGAAACAATTACAGCATTCATTCTACATTCCAATCTGAATTTTCTGGTTCATCCCTGATCTGCTTCACAATTCTGTTTGATATATATTTCAGCCCAACTATCCTCATTATAATGAAATGATGATTTTCCTCTTCTTTGTATCAGTACTGATTAAATTTAAGATTTTTGTCGGTCTTTATTTATTATCAATTGGCCATAAGACAATTAAGTTAGAAGAAAATAAATTATTCAGAAAGCTGCTTTATGGCAGTTGGTATCCTTTGACCAGCCTGAGTAATTTGTGAGAGCAAATTTCATGAGCTTTTAGATGAATCTTAATCCATGCATTTGAATGTTATAGGGAAATATGTCAATGGAACCACTCTTATAGTTGATGGGGGACTTTGGCTTAGCCGGCCTCGCCATCTACCAAAAGAGGTTGTCAAACAGCTGTCTCGAGCAGTTGAAAAGAGGTCTAGAGAAAAACCAGTTGGAGTTCCAACCAGCAAACTCTAAACCTGCCTGATGATCACGGTTGAGCTCCTGCACCAGCTACAGCTGCAGCAATTCTATGTTTGATGTTTGTATACGTTTAACCATGGAATAATTAATTCTGTCTCAAAACACTATCCATCATGACTTCCATCTATATTGCACAAAATGCAAGTTATCTTATTAAAATAATTCTACAGAGTAAAACGTCCTGTTTGTTCTTTGTTTCAAAATTATATCCGAGTCCCAAATGCTAATAGGCAACTTTTACTTATTCAAAAGGTTTCAGTCACATGCATTTCAAACATTATTCCAACAAAGGAGAATGTCAATGTGAATATGAGACTTAAAACTGTGGTAGAAAAATATTGTTCTTGGTTCACTATAGTGTGTATTAGTTAAGAGATTGGTGTTTTTTCCTACACCTGTGATTAGTTTTTTAGTTTAATGTTTTCCTAATGTACCCAAAAAAAAAAAAAAAAAAAAAAAAACAGAAAAAAGAAGGAAAGAAGGGTGTTTTTGTAGTTCAGATTGTCGGGACTACAATCACCTTGGCCCACTAACTGCATTGCAAACTACCTTTTTCATGTTCAACTGTAGAACAAATGGTTTTAGTGAAAGTTCATTCTAGTAATTAACAATTTGGGTTCATTCGCCTCTTAGATCTAAAAGATCAGGGGCTTACCTCAACAAAAGTGGAAGTTCAAGGGCAAAAACTTAATAATAGTAATAATAATAAAGGACAAAAAAA